TAGCGCAAAAAAATTCTAGGCGGAAGTGGGCGTGGCCTATATGGGGAGATTCAGCTCCATTCACTGAACGCGTGGATATAAGGTTTTTGTATGTGCGACAAACCATGCAGAAGTTATTAGCCTAAACGCACTTTTTATGATAGTAGCGCCACCTAGTGGCCAAACTTGAAGCTATTTTTGTTATATACATATTTGTATACGTTAATGCTGTGTGGCATCATGCAGAATAGCAGCAGTTTAATTTCTGTTCCCTTTCCCTTAAGAGTAAGTTACCGTCACTACATTGACATAACAGCCTAATGTTTTTGTAATGTTTGTGAGATTGAGAGATTGATAGGTGTTCATATCAAATCATCATGATTGAAAGCTGAAATCCATGAATTTGCTGTTATGACTGTTGTGTACACATACTTGTACAGGGCATCTGTGAAGGGTCAGAGTCAGTGCGGTAGTAGCCATTACGACAGACACAGTTAGTCGCTCCCTCGCTGGTGGTTCTGCTGTTAATGGGGCACTGCAGACATTTGTGGTCTCCCTGTGCAGCCTTGAAGAAGCCTGATACACAAGCTGCAAGGGAGAAGGTGAAGGAGGTACAGAGGAAAGAAAGAAAGAAAGAAAGAAGGAAGGAAAACAAGTAAACAGTAAGCTAAGAAACAAAATGCATGGTATACCGTATAAGAGAAAAAGAGTAATTAATCCGCACTGTCAACTGTATATCATATAGGCTATTGACTGCTTCAATATCAGTATTAGTAGTCATGTCCTAAAATTCTATGTCTGAGCTCTTTCATCTCACATTTTCCCCACCGAGCATATGTTTAGTCATGATAGCCCGGATGTCTGCATTTCATAAAGGTCATCTCATTGATGTGACATGTACTGGGACTCCTTCAGAGGCTGTCAGTTCTGCCGTCCACGGGATTGTAAAACATGTTAGAACATGTGGAGCAAAGGAGGCTGGGATTACACAAGACAGAAATTAGGCCTAGACCTGCCCTATATGGAAAGTGTCCGGAGATCTTCTGTTATGATACAGCACCAAATTGAATTGAACTTTAAATGTGATAGCAGTATGGGCCAAAAATTACCGTAGTGTTGAATTAAAAGCAGAACATTATAAACCCAAAAAAATAGGATTTATTACATGGCTGGTGCAATGTATTATATTGCACTGCTGGTGTACTTACTGTATTAGTATAGGTTTTTTTTTTTATGAAGTGAAGGTATGACACACCAGCTTTCCTGTTTTCTATTATTCATGCCTTTTATCATTTCATATTCATTCATCTTTAATGTGTCAGTATCTTCCTCTGCCCTCAGGGTTTTATTGAGGACAGCAACTGCTGAAAACAAAATAAGTAAATAAATATATAAAATGAATAAAATAAAATAAGTGTCAGCATTGATTCATTTATCAAATGTGACAGAAATTAATATTTCTGATTTAATTTGCTTCAGTATCTATGTACCTCTGTTTTAATTTCCCTATTTGATTTAAAGATTGATTTAAAATCTATTTATTTATGTTGTTATTTATGTTCAGAAATGCATACAGAAATATCACAAGTGAACAGAAATAAAAAAGTTTAGAGAAATAAGTAAGGGAAAAAAATGCAAAAAGGGAAAATATACAAAAGAAATACACAAATATATTTCAATATATATATTGCCAGTGGGTGGCGTGATCATAGCGCGGCCTTCAATGTACTGCAAGTACAGTAACAGCACTTTTTGTTTTAAACTTAATTTTTATTTCAGTTTCAGCAACTTAAACAATCATATACATGCACATTCACATTAAGTCATATATCATATAAGAGTATATGTTTCCGGTTAAACATATGTGCAAGTTACATAGTTAAATAAGAGTAACACACAAACATAAGAATAAGTAATTAAATAATAGCAACAATAAATGAAGGAATTAAAATAAAATAAAATTAAGTTAATGACTTTTACTGCATTCGTATAATCATAGCAGGTCCCCATCTGTTAGCAAATATATCTTTTTGAAGCCTCAAGACATAAGTTATTTGTTCCATATGGTAAATTTCCCAGACCTTCTTGATCCACATATTGTATGTTGGAGAATCGGGTTTTAACCATTTAACTGTAATACATTTAAGATGCAAGAGCAATGTGTGCAATGCAATGTGTAATATTTGTAAAAGGTATTTTTCCCCTCTTCCAATTATGTAATTTGGTATTAGTCCTAGCATTACCATCTTGGGATCTTTTATAACCTTTTTCTGAAATACTTTACCAAGTGCCTCAAAAACCTCATTCCAAAATGTTTTCAGTTTAGAACATGTCCAAAGTACATGGGTATGGTTACCAATTTGTGTCCCACAACTTCTCCAGCATTTATCTGAATACATGGGCCCCATTTTGGATGTGATCGCTGGTGTTCTAAAGAATCTTAATATTACCTTCCACCTGAATTCCCGCCATGTATTAGAATTGGTTACTTGATGTGCTTCTGTACACTCGTCTTGCTATATGACTGTGCTCATTTCATTTTCCCATTTTTCTTTAATCTGAAGAGTTTCATTAGGATTCATATCTAAAAATATTTTGTAAAAATGGCAGATAATTTTCTTATTTCCGCTACCAATTTACATTTTATCAGGAATTCTTCAATCGGGGTGGGCTCTAGGATTTTAATCCAGTCTCTATGCTTTGTTACAAAGTCACTTATTTATAAGTACCTGAAAAAGTCTGTATTTGGGAGTGTAAATTCCTTTCTTAACTGTTCAAATGATTAGAAACATCCATCTTTATGAAGTTGGTGTAGGTTTGTGAGTCCGTGCTCTGACCACTTTCTACATCTACATCTACACAGTCCATCTGAGAGGGGACAAAACCATTTATAAAACCAATGTTGGTTAATGCTGAGATTGATTAAGGCAGCCTATATGATTGATTTTCCTCCAAATCTTCAATGTGGTCCTAGTCCACTCGCTCATTTGAGTCTCACCAAGCAAAGTATCTAAGAAAGGTAGGGGTCTCAACTGTGCAGCCCAGAAATACAACCTGAAGTTTGGGAATTTGAGGCCTCCACGTGATTTGGATAGCTGGAGTATTTTTAGTCTGACCCTAGGCCGCCTTGATTGCCATATAAAGTTCGAGATCAGCTTGTCTAGTTTATCAAATGTAGATTTAGGAATATCTACAGGCAGCATCTGAAATAGATAAAGTAATTTAGGTAGGACATTCATTTGTATGCTCTCGATGCGGCCTGCCATAGATAAAGTAAGCGTTGACCATCTATCCAACTCCTTACTAATATTTTGTATCATGGTTCTGTAATTCACATAATATAAATGCTCTAATAATGGGGGTCTGATCTGTGAATAATGTTTGTTATAATTTTATTAACACACCTCGCTAATATGGATGTTAATATACGTAGGTCTGTATTCAACAAAGATATGGGCCTGTATGATTCACATTTGGTAGGGCCCTTTCCCTTCTTTCTGTATTACAAATATTGTTGCTTCCCTCCATGAGGGGGCCACAGTTCCAGATTGCAATGCATAATGATAAGCTTTTAGCAGTAAAGGTGTCACTAAATTTTTAAATGATTTGTAAAATTCATTGATATAACCGTCTGGTCCAGGGCTTTTTCCACTTTTTAATATAGAGATGACTGTAGTATTTTTGATTCCTTGATAGGCTCATCTAATTCATTTGCCACAGGCTCAGATAACTGTTTTAAGTTAATATCTTTCAGAAATTGTGCCAATTCTTTATCGTCAGTGCAGGTGTCCGTATTTGTGTATAGGGATTTGTAAAATTCAGCAATTTCATCCGGTTTTGTGAGTGTTGAATTACTAGTCTTTAATTTGTGTACTTTATTAGAGGATTGTTGTTTTTTAAGTCTTAAGGCCAATAGTCTACTTGCTCTGTTGCCTAATATTTCTGCTTAGAGAATCTTAAATTGCCCTCAATCAGACTGTTTAAGTCTCTACGAGCTTGTTTGAGCTCCTTGAGCAAATTGGGAGTCAGTGTTGGTAAATGGACCTGTACTTGTACAGCGCCTTCTAGGTCTCCGGACCACTCAAGCGCCTTTCACACTACATGCCGACATTCACACCTTTCATCACACGCCGATGGTAAAGCGCGTAAATTCCATTCATACACATTCACACACCGATGATATGCATCAGGAGCAATTGGTTCAGTATCTGTTTCAAGATACTTTCGACACGTGCCAGGAGGAGCCGGGGATCGAACCAACAACCTTCCGACTGGGGTACAACAACTCTGCCTCTGAGCCACTGCCGCCCCTTATGTTGTTCTTTTATGTTGTCGTTACAATTGTATTATTTTATGTTCCAGTGCCTTGCTTACCTTTCCTTTTTTTTTGCACTTGCAAATGAGATGATGCGGCCTCTAATGTATGCCTTAGCACAGTCCCATAGGATGAGGGGGGATATTTCTGGAGAGATGTTCATATCGAGGTAGTCCTTTAGATAATTTATTACAAAAGTAGTAAATTCTTTGTCATTTAAAGGTGATGCATTTAGTCTCCACTGTTTGGTCGGTAATCTAAGTCCTATGTCCCATGATATTGCAAGAGGTGCATGATCGGATATTGTTATTGGCAAGATCTTGACGTCCTCTATCCTATGTAGCTCTGCTTTGGGGGTGAACATTTTTTTCTCGAATAGGACAATTGTCTGTGGGAGTAAAAAGTAAAATCTTTACCTTTGGGGAATTTAGTTCTCCAAACATCCACTAATCCTGACTCGCTCGATAAGTGTGTGAGTATTTTACTGATTCGAGAAATAGATATTTTTGATGAAGGTTGTCTATCCATATGCTGAGACATGACACAGTTGAAATCCCCTCCCATCAGTAGAATGCCAGAGCTGTGCTGTAATATTGTGGCAAAGATTGTAGTAATGAAGCTGGGCTCATCCTCATTTGGGGCGTATATGTTCATCCGTGAGACTTGTATGCCATCAATAGTTCCATTTACAAAAACTAATCTCCCTTCAGAGTCCTTATGAACATTAGTAGGTGTGAAATTAACCTGTCTATGCACTAATATGGAGCCTCCTCTTTTTCTACCTGATTGATGTGATGAGTAAAATACTTTGTCTGCCCAAGATTTTTTGAGTTTTTCGTGTTCTATTTCTGATAAATGGGTTTCTTGCAAGAAAGCGATCTGACAATTTGCTCTTTTTAATTGATTAAGGATTTTCTTCCTCTTTATGGGATTGTTAAGACCCTTGACATTATAGCTATAACCTTAAGTAATACCATGACAAAAAATTAGAATTTGGAAGAACATGATCCTTTGGCTTCGAATAATATACTGGTAGATAAAAGAACGTGTGAGGGGGAAAGGCACAGGCGGGTCGTACAAAACTATACAGTGTCTGCATATGATAGGGTAGGTGTTAACAAATAAGGTTGGAAGGATGAAAAAAAATTAAATAAAAATAAGAAAAAAGAAGAAAAAGAAAACAAAGGATCTAAAGACAAAATATGAAAACAGATATCCATAAGTGAAAACAGCAGTACATTGCAGTTTGTGTTGAAGCAGGGGAGCAAAAAAA